AAAAACAACAAATACTAATTGAAATGAGAAACTTGTAAATAGCTGAATACTGAATGTTGTCCAAAACAAGCCAATACTAAGGTTCCTGGATAACCATTCCATTGCTACTTGTGCATTTATGTTGTAATAGCTCTTTGTGTAAACTACTGGAATTCACAGGGTGTTGCTGCCACATTGTAACAGAAATGTGGGAATAATGCTTCATTACCTTAAATCTCTCTAAACAGTATCAGTTTTGTCAGGAGACAAAGTTTGAGTCTACTAGGCTAATGCAGCTCTGTTGGCCAAGGACTGTTTTTCTCAGGGGGGTGTGCCGATGCCCTGAGGGGCTGAAAATAAACATGGAGTCGAGAGAAGACTCCTCAAAAGATTTCTGTCCTGACTTTTACTGTTAGTCCAAAATGATCTTGAACGTGGTGAGATAAAAGAGAAAATGGAAGAGTTCCCTGCTTTGACCTCTTTAGCCTCTCACAAGTTTTGTTCTCTGAATGGCTAACTGTGTTTTGTTTCTTGTCTTGCTAGATGGGCTGGTGATCCCATTGGTGGAACTCTCTGCAAAACAGGTTGCATTTCACATTCCATTYGAGGTGGTGGAGAAAGTTTATCCTCCAGTGCCTGAGCAACTACAACTTCGAATYGCCTTCTGGAGTTTCCCAGAAAATGAGGAAGATATCAGGTAATAAATACKGTTTTTGTTTCATTGATGCTTAAGAAAAGATTCTGTTCACTTGAGAAGAGTCACTGTTCTTTTGATGTCTTGTATATTTGGTGCTTCTGTGGTTCTCACGTGCCTTTTGTAATACATGGATGAATTACTGTGTGATATGCTGTGATATGGGGTTTTATTCCAGGGTGAGCTGCCTTGCATATGTGCCAGGAAAGCCATGTACATGTCTAGGTTCTGTGTGTAAAGGATRGCAAAATAAATGCACCCTTTAATTTGCCTAACAGCAAGCTACCTTACAGAGTTTTGTGCTTATGTTAGTCTTATGAAGCTGTCTTTCCAATYTGAACCTGTTGCTGGAGTCAGAGCTTTAACTGAGCTCAGAAATTGCCAAGAAGGGCTAGCTCAGTATGCTGTGCAAGCCTTTTGTTGGTATAATTCTGGAGAGCCAGGATTTGCTGAATATATCAGTGACCAGAGTTGATATAGTCAAATGACTATATTTCTTATGTTTCCACATTAACCAGGTGACTACATAGTGAAAGATTTTCTCCTTTTATATCTAAGATCTATTGCTGAAGCTTTTGTATTACTGGAGGTCTACCCATGTGACTGTGCATTTAGAATTTGTTGCAAAGTAGTGATACTACACTCTTTTAGAAGGAAACTTGCTGGGAGTTCTTGCTGATTGTTTGTCTAAGCTTCAAGTATCAGATGAGGGAGGTAATATCAGACCTGCTGATGTAAGATCACCTAGTAGGGAATTAGGCAAGCCAGCTGGTTGTATATGCTCATTATTCTGATGAATACAGATGTCAAAAAAACCTCATGTGAATATGCAGATAATTAGTCTAGGAKTTTTTACTGTGTAGCATGCTAACACTAGACCTTGAATTATACTGTGTATAAAGGCTTAATTTTAGACTGTGAGTGAATTTTTATTTCAGAGCCTTAGGCTGAAATTGCTAAAAATGCCAGGGGCTATACACAAACCCACTTAGGAAGAGAATAATGATCTTTGTGGCTGGATTGTAATGTAGAAATGGCAGGAGAGACCTGGACGTATTCGTATTCAAGACAGTAAGGATTTTTCAAAAGCTGTGTCAGTGAAGAGTATAATACTGTGAAATTTCTCAAAACCAGACTGATCTTGACATGTTCTGTTTCTCTCTTGCAGGTTGTACTCGTGCTTGGCGAATGGCAGTGCAGATGAGTTCCAGCGAGGGGAGCAGCTCTTTCGGGTGAGGGCTGTCAAAGACCCTCTCCAGATAGGTAAGAACAGTGCAGCTCCATGGTTCTAGATACTTCAGAGTCCCAAAATCATATTTGCAATGGGACAGCAGTGTTTTGACCATGTCTCAGAGCTGGCTTTTCTGGCATCCTAGCTGAAACTCCCTGCCAAATGTATTCTTTGTAATGTCTTGAGCTAAATGACTACATTTTATTATGGCCTCAATCTGCTCAGCTGTGAAATGGACTGAAAGGTCAGAAATGCTCTGATCCTAAATCTGTCTTAGCCCTTTGCAAAGAACTGTGTAGGATACCATTGTCTCCATAATGCTTGAATTCCTCAGTGCTAAAGAGAACTTGACTTTCTAATTGTCTGGTCAAATGAATGCCTTGCTTAAAGTGCCTGTATGCTGCAGAGGAGGTTTGCAAGGTTTATTYTTGTAGCAAAGGAGTTGTATTAATAGTACAGTTATTCATGTAGTATTTTGGCAGACAGAAATCCCTCTTGTTGGACAGTGGGTTTTATAGCTTCTCTTGCTATCTTGTTCTTTTTATATTCTTTGGCTATAGAAGCTAATCTTATCTATACAAAGAATTTGACTTGGGATTTTTCATTAAATCCTTTGTAGCAAAGAAGAATATTGAGATAGCTTTTTCAGTGACAGCTGTTTGACCAAAAGGCATTATRTGAAGTAAATGTACTAGTATGACAAGGTGAGCCATGCCAATCCATAGCAGATTTTTTTTTTGCAAGTGTAAGCTTCAGAATCAGAATATTATTTGACATGTGGGGTCTGAGCCTGGTTGTAGTTAGAAAAATAATAATATAAAAAGCTGTATAATGTTAAGGAGAAAATTTCCAATATTTTTGTGTGATGAGGGATASAGACTTCTATGGATCTGTTTAGTTACTAGAATCAGTAACACAGCTCTCAGTGATGAGTGAAATAAATCAATTTAGGTAAAGAGCCCTCAAATGAGAGGGAACAAAAGGGACGTGTACTATAAYGGTTTGGGGAGAACAAAAAGAGAAGGAGATAGCCATTGACATATGCAAACAGCAAGTCTGATGAGCTGTTACCTGAATAGAAGGTAAAGTTCTGAAAGAGTATTACCTAGTCCAGTGTTGGCTGTAACAGCAATGGCAAGCATTCTCGGGAATGGAAGTGAAGTGATTCCTCCTACATAAGTCAGATTGAGTTAAAACTACCTCACATAGTGTCAGTGTGTTGTCAGTGAGACCAGGTAGTAATTTTGGAATGCCAACATTGATTTGGAAATTTTGCTAAATAGGATTAAACTGACTTTTGAGGGCATTCCTAATCTCCCAATGTCAGGACTGAAATGCTGAGAGGCGCTTCTAAGGAATCTGCTAAACTTCAGGAAGCCAAATGTTTGAGAGAGAGAAAATGAGTTAAAATGCAGCTTGCTGAAATTCAGTAATTCCTGGGACTTTCACAGCAGAAAAAGAGCRTGATATTTAATAGACAGTAAAAGACTGTGGTCAGCTCTTGTTTCAGTAATACTTWAAAAAGGCGAGGAGGTTTAAAGCAGTGTACATGAACAAAGGCTGGGAATATTAGTGCAAAACCTGTGCTTGGAGGAGGAGAAGAGTGGGGGGAGAAGAGGTGGTGGGTGAGTGATACAGAGGAGAAACTTCTCAAGAACACATAGAAGCAACTGAGATTCTTGACAAAGGATTATGTGTRTGGAAGGGAAGGAAGCAACTTTGTTTAAATAGTAAGGTTGCCTTGTCCTTAGTAGAGGAACTGTATCTAATGAAGAGATTATTTTTTTTCCATGAATAGCAGTCCAGAAGCTGTGCGGCACTGAATATATTTTCAGTTGTCTACTTCAAATGATTTTAAGGTGTGTTGCAACAGTATTGAGTTTCATACACTGACAAGTGGGAGAAGAAGCACAATGAAACAATGAAGCAGCCCTTGAGCGGGGAATTGATTTGGAGAGGGATGGAGCAGTGCATTGTGATATTGTGGTCAGTAGGACAAAGCTTGACTTGTGCTTTGTGCTCTTCTTGTTCCATTTTTCTTTGCAGTCTAAGGTTTATTTTTTAAACATAAATAATTAGTCTAGTCATCTTGTCCACATGCATATCCATATTTATGATTTCTGAACAGTAGCACCTCTTCACTACATTCCAAACCCCCAATTTTTTACAGCTGTAAATACACATGGAATACTGTATATACACATGGAGTTGGCTTTTGTAGACCTTCTCCTGCACATTCTCTTTGTAGTAGTCACATACCTACCTCATTGCAATGAAGACATTATTGCTGTTCTTAAAAAGATGTGTTGTAGACTTTTCAGGGACTGTTTTTCACTCCTAGTGTTAGTTTCTTTTTAACAGCTGAGGAAGGCAGCAGCAGCTTGAGTTTGGATTCTAATTTTGCATATCCTTCAGTAGTGTCTCCACTTTTCAGAGGTGCTCCTGTCTTGGTTTAAAACACACAACTGTCCAAAATTGCCTTGCTTTTTGTATCCTGTCTAAAAGCTTTTGTTCAGYTCTTGTTTTCCCCTTTGTTTCAAAAGTTCTTAAATTCTAATTTTGTCTCTTTTTATAAGTGTTCTTCCTTCCTTGCATTATCAGTTAACTGTCTTTATATGCAAAGAAGAATGTCATGGTAAGAGCTTGAGAGGGGCTTATAGCTGGGATCCAGTCTTCTCTAACACCTTTTGTGTATTTCTTTTTTGCATTGAAACAGAATTGCTACAATTCCAAYTTGTGAAATGCTTAATTTGCTTATGTGAAAATCAGAGCATTATTCTGAGATGGTTTTTCATAACAGAAGGATGAGCTGAACTGTTTGGGTTGTATTTTCCAAATGTAGGACGTAAATTAGAGCTATATCTGGTAATAAGCAGTGCAGTAATTTTGTGTGAATGCCTTCTTTTGTTTTGATTCTGGTCTGCACTGTTGCCAGAGTTAGCATAGAAGTTATGCCTAAAATGCATATAGTCTAGATATGATTGTGTGAACAAAACCTGACACTTTTCAGGGATGATTTTATCCAGTTCTGCTTTTCTCTGTAAAATARTAGTAGAAATTAATTAATTTATTAATAGCTGGTATTTTGGAGTCTCTAACACATTTTGCTTCTCTGCTAATATTCAGGCATAGCTGATTGGGAAGAAAAATGTACTGAAGACTCTAGATCCACTTGCAACCTTGTATGGATTGTTGTTGCTAGACATTTTGTTTCCGTGTTTAAATAGCATATACCTGTATTTCTGTGCTGGCTGAATCGTCTTCCCAAATACCGAAGAATAACTTTGAACTTTGGAATTTCCCCAGGCTTCCATCTGAGTGCCACGGTGGTGCCCCCGCAGATGGTGCCCCCCAAGGGCGCGTACAACGTGGCGGTGATGTTTGACCGGTGCCGGATCACATCGTGCAGCTGCACCTGCGGCGCCGGGGCCAAGTGGTGCGCCCACGTCGTGGCACTCTGCCTCTTCCGCATCCACAATGTAGGCTTCCAGCACAGCTCTTCTGCTTACACATCATGCAAGTGTGCTCACATTTTGGTCTGCAGCTGAATTGTCTGAGCCCTAAACTGCAGTCTTTCCTTTGGTAACGTGCAGATTGCTAAGGGGAGATACCGAGTGCTTTTTGGCCCCTTCCTGTTTCTCATTTAAATTCTAAAATCACTCAGTATTTCTTCATTTCTGAAAAGAGTKAAAGGTCACCAGTAGTTAGTCTTTTAATAAAAGTCTTTGTAAATATAGGATTTGAAAGCTCACTCTTCACTCTTTGATCAGAGTGCAGAGGGAAAGTAATTTTGATCACTGTTGGCTTTTATGTTCAYCAGTTCATTTTAGCACTTACTGATGCAAATAATTGTCATTTTGACTTCTAGATTTCAAGCAGTCAGTTAAGTTTATGTTTTTATTTGACTGCTTTTATTCTATGTGACCTTCTATGGAGCAAAAAGTAGGCATTTTAAATTCTAACCAACTTCAGCTGAAAATATGTAGAATCAACATGAAATACACCAGTTGAGGGTTTGGTCTTGCACACCGTTTAATTTCCTCTGCTTTGGGAAGCTGAGAAACAGAGGATTAAGCTTTGTTGATTGAAAGGAACAGAAGATTTTTCTGCTGTCACAGAATATTTTACAGCTAGCATGCTTATGACCAACTCCAGATTCTTAAATAAGTGCTAATAACCTGCTGAAGCTTGTTGGTATTTCACAATGGACAAGTGTTAATAGGCTTAAATTTATGCTCTTGTGAAATAATCAGAATATCAGTATACTTTCTGTACTTAGGGCTGGAGAGCTGGCAAAAAAGTGGGTTCTGCTTTGAATTCTTAGTTTGAGTCTTAAGAGTATGGAGAATTAGGCTAAAAAAATAGTMATTTATATTATTCATACTCAGAGAGTTTGAACCCTGTGTAAAATAAAAATAACTATTTTACTTCTAATCCTTTCTTCACCTGAAAAGTGATAGTGAAAGTATTGTTGTGTTTGTGTAAACAGTCTTCTGACACTAGCAAGTCACAAGCCAAGGTGTATTCCTCTACGTAGACAAGACAGTATCAGAAGTGTCTTTGTTATCAAACTACTCCTGACTGTGTACAGGTTAAAATTAAGTTCTGTTTTGTTATGTAGAGTGGAAAAGGTTAAGAAGCTAACAGTGAGGGTTTTTTAATAATCTCATTTGTTCTAAGATATGGAAAGAGATTTTAAGACTGAATTAAAAAACTCTAATGAGATAAATGAGGTGGTTGTGATTCTGTGAAACAGTCCCCRACAGAGCTGGTTGATTTGCCAGAAGCTTAAGGGATAATGTCCTATTTTAGAGGTTTGTTTGTGAAATCTCTGCCAGTATTTGTGCAAATGCTAGCAACAACAGATCTTAAGCACAGCTGTTAATGCAGTTTCCTTGAAAAAAACGCTTAAAAACAGTTTTTATAAAGCGTAGACAGCTTATTTGCATCTTATCTGCATAATTTCAGAGAAAAAAAAATTGTGCATCAAGACCAAGTGCAATAGGCATCAGCATAACTAGTGTTTGTGGCACTTCATCCGAATGATGGACACAGCTTCATTAATGGTAGTCTGTGTCTCCTTTTCTTTCTTCAGGCATCTGCAGTGTGCTTACGAGCACCTGTTTCTGAGTCTTTGTCTCGGCTACAAAGAGACCAGTTGCAAAAATTTGCTCAGTACCTAATCAGTGAGCTTCCACAACAGGTAAGTGGGGACCATTGATCTGACTGRTGACTTGTTAAATTCAGTTATCTTTATTCCCTGTCCATTTATATGATATCTTTTGTTGCAAGRTAACTGGTTATGCTATTCAGTTGTGAGCTGCTGGGAAGGCATTCAGTTCTTGCCCTTTTCAGATTTGGTATTCTATTATTTGACAATCATTGTCATGTAAAAGATTAGAAGTGTCTTAAAAGAAAGAAGAGTGGTGGCTATTCATATCAGCATGAATATATGCTGAGCTTGTGAAAGATCAAACACAATAAATAAGTGCATGATTGTTGAAAACTTAGGTCAGCTCAAATGAGGTTGTTTCTTTTTTGTGTGTTTGCTTAGCGAAATGGAGAGAATTACCCAGGTAAAGTACTGTATGTGCCTTAAGTGGGCACTTCCTAATGCACCTARCTGGTAACCTTTCTGTTTCCCTCAGTGTAGCTTCTTGGTGATTCATAAGAATAATTTAAAGTAATAGACATGAAATTTTGTTTGTCAAAGGCAAAATGTGTTCACTTCTTCCTTAAATACCAATGTTGTTCAAGGTCAGGTCATTTATATCATYTGCCTAAAATGTTTGCACAAAATACACAAGAACACCCAAGTGATTGTGAAATGATTACTTTAAAAATATACGGGTTTGGCAMCTTTTTTATGCTGGTTCAGCTAAATGAGATTGAGAAAAACTGACATGCACGGGTGTCTGTCACATTTCAGCAGTGCATTCATAATGTACTCCTCTTAAGTACGGGTTAGACTACTGGCAGCATGTGCCCCAAATTCATAGTATGGTGGTGTGCTTGGGACACTAAGATATTCTATTGCTAAAATGTCCTCTAAATTTCCTACAGAAATACTAATCTTCTTATGAGAGGAAACAGAGGAATCGTGTAATATGAAAGTGATATAAAAATACTGCTTTTTTGTTGCTGAGAGATGAGCACCAGTAGTGTGTGCTTCTTGCTGCAATATGTAACAGGCAAAGCTTTTCTTCTCTCCTCAGACTGAGCTTTATGGCACAGGCTGGTGCTTAATGGGGAGAGGCTTTGAAAGGCTAGTGGTGTTGGTAGATATTTCCTGAATGGCATGTGAGTTTGCTTTCAGGTATTCTATGTCTGCTTCTTTCTGCATGGTTTATTTCTCCTTTGGTCATGTGCACCAGCTGTGCACCAGGAACATCTGGACTAATGAATTATTACTATTTTGCCAGATMATCTGATGAATGCTGCCCAGCAGAAAAGTTTAGGGTTTATGGGAGATATGTTTTAACCTGTGTTATGTAATTCCTTTGAAAAAGGCAAGGCACACCCCAAGCTCTTTCAACAGTCTTWTTCCTGGTCCTCAAGATTTCTGGATGGAGAGATATACTCTAATACCTTGGGAYCCCATATTTTGACTATATGATGTAGATCTAGAGTAGGCTGTACACATGATTCTATTTTATCCTTATTTCCAGTTTGTAAATGACATGGTACAGTAATRCAATGCTGAATTGCTTTCAAGTGTAAGGGGTTGATAGTCTATGGGAATGCAGCTAGAGAAGATGTTTTTCAGAATCTCTGTTGAAAGTGTTTTCTGTGTCTGTGACAATGATGGAAAAGCAGCTGGAATTCATTACCTTGTTCTTCACCCAAGAACTATTTCCCCTAATGAAGCCAGTACTCCTATTCCAATTAAACATGAATAYCTTAGCAAAAAAGCCTGAAGGAGAGTCACTGCAGGTCCCTGGTATTTCAACCTTAAGGTGTGACATTGCCTAGACCTGTGAATTTTCTTGGTATAGGTAGTAGTGGAAAAAAGGTAGAAAAATAGCTTAATGCTGAGTTTGTTTCTTCAGGTGATTGAAATGCAAAATATCTTTCTGAAGCATTTTTTTCCTCCATCTGTTTGAGATGTGTATYATTTGCAAATACAGGTGCACTGAATGTGCCTTGCTTTACAGTAAGAGTGATCTTTTACCTCAGCTGTTCTGTGGAGAGAGGCGGGGGATATCAGACATTCGGTTGCAAGTCATTTAAATACTAATTATGTGGGTTAACAATTTGCATGCTGTGTGCATACTGAAGGCTAAATGGGTCTACACTTTCAGCCCAGACTTAGTTTTGGGAAAAAAACTCTTTCTACTATGTGTTTTTCTYTCAAAAATAACATAGTATTTTGCAATAAGGTGTGAGCCTTCTCTGCTGATGCTCTGGGGTAGTCCAGAACCTATGATTAGCTAGGTGCTGAAATTGCATTCCTTTACTACTGACTCCCTTTGCTAACTGGATGGTAAATTAGTTAAAGTCTGCCCCAAAATTATGTGTAGATGCATTTTACAGTTTGCTCCCCTGGTCCCATTTGCTTGGGTTTTAAATAAATGATTAAGGAACGAGAAGTAAAAATCTTTCAAAGTGCAGAAAAATGGTGACCTTGACAGTAGTGACTTCCCTAACTCTCAAAATGAGTTGCAGTACCTCTCTCTGTAGGCTCCTATTCCTCAAGAAAKGAGAAAGGAGCTAATAAGCTGTGATGCTTTTGTTTACTTCTTGGGGTGTGACTGCAGAAAGTGAGCCGTGCGCGGGCTGTGAGAGAGGAGGTTTGGCTGCTGGTGGCCATTGTGTGATCTSTAGCACCCTCTGTCGTCCTTTCTGAGAACGTAGCTCTGTGTATTTCGTACTCCTGGAATTACCAGAGGGCTTCAGTCACGATCTTTGGCTGGGTGTAGCAGGATAAGAAATACTGTGCATATTGAAAGTTTCTTCAYGTTTTCAGATTCTTCCAACTGCTCAGCGCTTGCTGGACGAGCTGTTATCTTCCCAGTCTACTGCCATCAACACAGTGTGTGGAGCCCCAGGTAATTTTAATACATCTTTTGTCAGTAATCTTTATCATAGATAGGAAGAGTATGTACTTCCAGTGCTTCAGGTTTCTGAACTAACTTGTTACTTTGTAGCTTGGATTGCAGATGGTAATCAAGGAAAGGAGATGAGTTTTGGCACTTATGTGTATAAAGGGCACAACAACAGGCACCTCAGAGTGCTTGCAGAGGAAGACAATGCACTTTCTAACAAGGTGTTTTTCTTTTTAATTCAGTATTAATTGCAGAYTCCTGRAAATGTTGATTGGAGGGAACCTCTCCCAAGTTCCTGCCAAAAACAGGACTGTTTGCAACACTAGAATGGGTTAGCTGTGACTTGGGATAGCTCATCTAAGTGTTGGTTACCAGAAATGTTATAGCATTTCTGTGTTAGTGCTGCGTTACCCTTCTGATCTGGAGGCAGCTGCTAATTTAGTGTTGTYAATGTTGAAAGTAATTTTATGGTAGCATTTTAAGATAAATCTGAATGGGGTGTTCAGCAATGGGTGCAATAACTTGGGTTGCACTGCCTGTGTACTCCCTATTTAACTCTGTGGTTGGGCACATAAAGTAAAATATCTTCAAAACCTGCAGGCTGTAAATGTATTTTTCTTTTGTAAGATCCCACTGCTGGACCCTCTGCATCAGATCAAAGCACCTGGTACTTAGATGAATCTACTCTGAGTGACAACATAAAGAAAACCCTTCATAAATTCTGTGGACCCTCTCCTGTTGTTTTCAGGTAAACTGTTTCCCATTGATGGGAAAATGTGATGTTTATGTRATATGTGAACTCATTCACCATATAGCCTGTGCACCTTGGACTGAAGGATGCTCAGTTTCATGGTCTCTCTTCTGGACTGTATTTTTGCATAACTTGTCCAGTGTTATTTCAGTAGAGCAGATTGTTGTATTTGTACAATATTTTGCTTRTGTGGTGTTCTTGAGCTCATTATGCATCCTGTCTGTTAAGTTACTCATGTCTGTGCCACTGAAGGGCAAACATATTTCTGGTTGTGGATTATATTCAGGATTTTGTATGACTGTGCTTGATTTAATTTTTTCTCATCTTTGTTCTTCTGCTTTATGTACAGTGATGTGAATTCAATGTATCTGTCTTCCACTGAGCCACCAGCTGCTGCTGAGTGGGCTTGTCTGCTGCGTCCCCTGCGAGGAAGAGAACCTGAGGGAATCTGGAACTTGCTTTCCATTGTGCGGGAGATGTTCAAGAGACGGGATAGCAATGCAGCTCCTTTGCTGGAGATTCTGACTGATCAGTGTCTCAACTATGAACAGGTATCTCTCAGATGGGGACTGTCTGGGGAGCCAGGCAGAGCCAGTGACTGGAGCTTTGTGTCTGTATAACCCATGGCTGAATGCAATTATTTTAATAGCCTGTGTGCATTATGGGCATGTGCTTCTCGACACTGAAATGATGTTACAGTTTGCTCTTGTTCTGGTTTAGTGATAACCCAGTAACACTGTATTCCCGAATGCCTCAATTCTTCTAATATGAATATGTAGAGTCTGATTTCTTTTGTTCTGCATATTTGATTTCTTCCCAATCAGGGTGATTTATTTTACTGTTGTTTTGTTTTTTTTAAACAAAGCATGTCATGTATGAGCTGTCATTTTRATGAAAACTTAAACATGTATGTTGTGTGATAGAATCTCTGATTCTTTTGTTACCTTTATGGAAGATATCTTTTGCTGGATTTTAAGTAATAAGTTTTTTTCATTTTGTTAAAATAGTATTAGAAAAAAGGTTTCCTTTGACAGTTCAGAACTTTGACCTCAGTCTGTTGTAATATAAATTGTGGTGTAAATTTCCTTATTGCTYCATCCCATACCTCGACTTTGAGCAGGGGAAAGAAAATGCTTCTTTTATCACRTTTGTTCACTTTTTGTCTCCAAGTGTGAAGGCCACTAGGAAGTGAATGTCCTGTGAGTTTTATACTTTAGGCATGTACCTTCTAAGCAGAGAAATTTTGAGAGGCCCTTAGCYCTCACAAACCAATACCGGTTTAATGTCATAGTTATTTTGGAGTCAAATGAAAAATTTGTATTAACTACAAATCCTGTTTGCTTGGGATTATGAGATAAAAATGAGAGCAGGGGATGAGATGCTGACCATAGCACAGCTCCACTGGACTTTTTCCTTCTGCAGATAACCGGCTGGTGGTACAGTGTGCGAACGTCTGCGTCACACAGCAGTGCCAGTGGGCACACAGGACGCAGCAATGGCCAGTCAGAAGTAGCTGCTCATGCTTGTGCAAGCATGTGTGATGAGATGGTGGTACTCTGGAGGCTGGCTGTCCTTGACCCAACTATTAGTCCGCAGAGGTGAGCCCCAGAATAGTTCCTGTCTCTCTTTAATTTCTGTGATACTCAACCACATAAATGAGTTTCATCCTGTAGATTTCTTGTGTTCATATCATTACCTCATTACCTGTTCAATCATTAGTTCTTCTGAACTATCTGCTATGTACCATTCAAAGCACTATAGTTACTTTAATTGCTATTAGTGCTCACTTTTAGCAACATCAAGTAGTGTGACTGATTTRTTTTCTGAGAGTCCTCTCTTAAATWTAGGTGTAATTCTGCATTTTAGCATCCCAGTAGAGAACATTTCTTTGAATGATAGCACCAGCTACCAGTTAATTTTAATGGTGTCTATATTTAACCATTCAGCAGTTTAATGKAGTTCTGTTTAGCCCGGTTGTTTGCTATTGTGTATTTGAAAATAAACCAAATCCTACTTTTGTGCTYTTAGGGAGTTTGTTCTCTGCAGTATATTTGTAAAGAGTGTCACTAGAGTGTGATTTTCAGTCAGTGATTTCAGTTGTCTGAGAAAAAATTGTGTGGCTTCTGCAGATTTCTATGCCATATTGTGCATTGGAAAATCACTTTATCACTATGCCATCTTTATTTAGCATCACCTTTATTTAGCAGCAGTTGAATATCAGTAGAGGTATTGAGAGCTCCTGTTGAGATGCTGTGGTTGACATAATAGTTTGTTTTGTACATCTTGTCCACAAAGTGTGGTGTGTGAAATGTATTGGATTAATTTAATGTGCTATAAATTTGTAGAAGTTTCCCAGAATAAATGAAAACAGGATGGTATTTTCAGACAGTTACTCATTAACAGGATTTGCTTTTTCAGAATTGTTGTGTAACATTAATAAAATGCCCTCTGTAAGGTACATCAGGGACATTGAAAGGGATGCAGTTCCTATCTTGTTCAGTTTACAATATGAAGTAGCTAAATATAGGCATTGAAGACAAATGAAAAACTGTAGRAAACTGGGAATGCAGCCTAAAATAAACACAAACATCAATCGAATCACATAGAAAAAACATAAAAGATTTTGGCCATTAATAACGTATGAAGTTGTGCTTTGTATATTCACATTTGAGTTATTTGACGCAGTTCAAATTTGCTCAGATCTCCTACTTGAGCTAATGAATAATTGAAATGCTCCTGCTTGATTACCTATTCTCTTGGTGTTYGAATAGTCTCCAAGAAGAACCCTCTTCTACTCATGCTTCCCATTCTTTATGGTGCCTCATAAGGAGACTTTGCAAACTCTCATCCTTACATTATCCTTCCTGAGTAGCTCCTGCTCCTTCYTCCTTCTGAAAATCTTCTTGATTAAGTCCTACCAGTCTGCTTCCTTTTTAATTAATTTCTTGAGTGGACAAATATAAGTAGTCCATTCGTTTACTCCCTTTTGTCCTAATACCCTTTGCACCTAAAATGGGTCACCCCAATTTTTGGTTTCTTGTTTTCTTTGTTTTCTTTTTGTTCTTTTACTTTTGATAGGAAATCTGATAGGATTGGAGTGTTGGGATTATAYGTCAGGTATCCAAAATCTGAGGCAGAAATAAGATGGCAGTTGATTGGGACACCTGATGTAATTTCTAGAAGTGTCTTTTTCTTTTGAATTAGATCACCRTGTAGACTATTTTGCTCATGTGCACAGGCCCTGTGTAAGATTTGGAGCTGGAAAATGCAGAACTGTTTTGGCTTTTTTTGTTCTTCCCATAGTAATAGGGGGCATGGGACTAACTGTGTAATCCAAGTCTGTATAGCCCTGCCAGCTTGCTGCTTCTTCAGAGTTATTTGAACATCAATTATTGCTGTGCCTATGGTTTGCAACAGTTTATTCTCCTGAGGACAGCTTGCTAAAGCCTAAATTGAATTGTTGGCCTCTATATAGGCACATTAGGGTAAAGGGGTAAGTGCCTGGGAAGCGGATTAGGTGGTCCTGTCTGTCATTGTGCTTCCCTGGGTCGGCTATTKAGGTTGTACTTGTGAATGTCTTAACTGGAGTGATTCACAGGGCTGTTTCACAGCTGCTGCAAACTGTTTTATGAGTGTTTCCAATAGCAGCTCCCTATGGTACTCACTGGTTTGAGACTGCTGTTGACTCACATCACTAGCACCTTATTTAGGACAGATGAGCAAACAGGGCAGTGTTTTATTTGAAACCTGCCAGTTTGCATTGTGCTTTCATGTTGGTCATGTTCACATTTTGTTTCTGTATCATGAGCCTGTCTAGAACTTAGTTGTTAATACACCTGTTGGCTTTTTCCAGCCTGTCTTCTTACTAATGCTGTCTGTACTTAATTCAGCAGATGATGTTTCTGGCCAAACGAGGGAAGTGTTCTGTGGATTAAGTAGTAGTTGGTTGCGGGTGCTTTTTCTGTCTGCTTCCTAACTTGTTGTCTTTGTTCTCTTAGGCGCAGGGACCTTTGCTCACAGCTCAGACAGTGGCAGCTGAAAGTCATAGATAATGTTAAGAGAGGTCAGCACAAGAAATCACTGGAGAAGCTCTTCCAAGGTTTCAAGCCAGCTGTAGAAGCCTGTTACTTCAGCTGGGAGGAGGCTTATCCCATTCCTGGGATTACATATAGCAGCACTGACAAGAAGAACTCGTTCTGTTGGGTAAAGGCCATCCAGCAGAGGAGCTGCCGCTTGCAGTGTGCAGAAGCTGCCTGTGAGGCTGGTAGAAGCCATGGCCAGGAGCCCGGGGGACCATGCCTGCAGCCCGGGGACAGGCTGCGGCCCTCTCCCCAGGAGCCAGCGGTTCGGCCAAAGGAACTTACTGGAAAGCGGAAAGTTGTCTCTGAAACACCACAGAGGGTTCTGAGGCGGCTCTCAGCAGAAGGGGACAAAGCTGTGTATAAGAGTGCGGTGGGCAAAGCAAAGTTGCCAGTGAGCAAAGGCTTGGCCAGTAAACATAGTGGGAAACGCCGCATGAGCAGTGAGGACAGCTCTCTGGAGCCAGACTTGGCAGAAATGAGCCTGGATGACAGCAGCCTGGCGCTGGGGGCAGAAGCCAGCAACACCTTTAGTTTTACAGAAAGTCCACTGAGCAGGAACTATAGGGATGCCTTTGAGGAGGATGGTGGGGTGTACTTCTCTGAGGGACCTGAACCCACTGTCAGGAGCAGTTCCATGGCCAAGAAATCCCCCAAGGATCCCATGGGGGAGATGGGTAGCGGCGATGATGACCTGCCTTCTGTGGATGAGAACTCCGGTGGTGTGAGTCTGAAACCAGAAGAGGTGGGAGASAATGGTGCAGCAGGGGGAGGGGATGATGGAGAAGAAGAGGAAGATGATTACCAGGTGTACTATCTGAATCCACAAGAGGTAGCCAAGGAAGATGATGATAAAGCTGAAGGGGGAATTGAAGAGGAACAGGATATGTTTGCTGGTATAAAGCCTCTGGAACAGGAGAACCGGATGGAGGTGAGCTGGATCTAGTTCAAAATGCTGTTTTGCAGTTTTATTTATTGTATAAATCAATGTCTCACCACCCTCATGGCTGTCACACTTAACCTAGGATGTTGTTAAATGAAGTACTTAAATATAATGTTGTGATACCCTATGATACAATTGGCTATCTACAAGTTAATGCAGTGGTAGCATATGTCTGTTTCCCACAGGCTTGATTCTCTTATTTTGCTGCTGACTGCAAGTGTGTTCCAGTTTTAGTTAGTTCCATCTCACACTCCAGGATTTACAAATGTAGACAAAACAGTGCATGCTTTTCACCTAGTCTCACCCTTGGAAATGGCAGAATTTATCTGAAACTAAAAATAAGTAAGATTGAGACATGCTCAGCAAGAAAAATTTAAGTCCAACCATTTAAGCAGAAGTTCTTTGGAAAGGAGAGGCAATCTAAATAAACTGTGTCTCATTCCTGTAGCAACCACAAAATGTGTTTAGAGCTTGCACCTATATAAGCAGGCAGCCAAATAAGGATGCATGGAAATAGTGCTAGTTTGAGGTTTAGGTTTTTTTGAGTTYTCTGATCTCTT